GTCGTAGAAACATAAATTATTTATTCGAAACTAATTATCAAAAGAAATAGGTACTTAAGCTGATATTTTAAAACACAAAAAGGATATTTTTAATGATATTTTAAACATTTTTAGTAAATGTAATTAATAAATACGTTCATTCATTTTGATTAAAACACGTTGTTGATTTGTGGATTTTTACACTAAAATAGTTAAGGGATTTGATCAAATCATACTATTTCCTCTTTTCGCTAAAACAGTTAAGAGATTTGATCAAATCACTTAGTTTCTTTAGGGAAATGATCTTACGGAGTTGTTATTTTAACATCTCCCGTGAATTGATCATTTATTAGGTTGTCCCAAAAGTTTCTTTCGTTTTATTAATAAGTTGATATATACACAATATTTTATGTTTTATGTTAGATTACTGAATTGTGTACGATTCATTTTGCTCCATTACTGTTACAACATTAACATCTAAGAAATTAGAATGTCTATTTATATAAACACTGTCACAGAAAATAGTTGAACGCAACTCACGAAAGAAACTTTTGGGACAACCTAATACCTTAGGGATTTGACCAAATCTTTATTTTTATTATTTCCCTGCGACATATACATATATATGTAGATATAGTAGTCGCAAGGAAAGGATTCGGTGAAAACGGTGGGATACGTGGAGCCCTGGGAAAACATCTGATAGATAAAATCAGAAAATTGTTTTCTTTAGTAGGTACGTAAAATGCGTATGAACCTCAATTTGCAAAAAAAAAATTGTTAATTGTAAAAATGGCGGCAAAAAACATGAAAGTGAACGATACATGTCGGCCGTTATTTTGCAATAACTTTATGCTATAATAATAATTCATTAAGAGTTGAGGTTCAATAGCATATAAACTTAATTATCTTCAATTTAAGCGTTGAATCAAGTGAATCGGATAACAATTCGGTGAACTATGCGTCCTTTGACCGAATCCTTTCCTTGCGACTACTATATCTATATATGTATACATTCAAATTAAATCTACACTGTTAAATTTTCTTCTTTGAACGTCTCTTTATACGTAAAAAAAGTTTCAATAATAAAAATTAATTATATCTGGAAATTATATGCATTAGAAAAATACATTAGCTTAGACTCCCCCCTTAAGTAAAATAAGTAAAATTTATAATTCGTATTGCAATTTTTACTGAAAAAATAACGCAGCAACAGCTGTTCATTTTTTACTCGCTAAATTTTTATTTGGATAAGAATTTTGCCCATTTTTGAGTGACTATCGGTTGGTCAATTTATCGCCGAAATTTCCGTATTCTTTCGTTTATAAGATTAAAGATGATTCGAAACGTTTCACTGTTTGAAAATTAAGAGAAACGCCCGCGAAAGGAACGCAAGTTAACTACGGTCGGATGTACTGGTTTTTCATGAACGCGATTCTCGAATTTCGATCTCTCGCATTTCCATTCACACCTATTGCTAACCACGCGCAACGGCTGCTTACAATGCGCGACTCGTTTTTCGGCGTTTATGCTTGAACAAGCTGAACATTAAGACGCGTCTACACGAAGAAATAGAGTCTCGCTATTATTTTTTTCTCGTTTTTCATTTCCAGTTAATTCTTATCTAACGAACAAACAGCGTTTATTTAGAGTTTATGTATATATTTCTATATATATAATATGTAATAATTGTAATAATTAATTATTAATAATTAATAATCCATAATATCAATTCATCCCAACAACAAGTTTCTTAAGGTATCATCTGATAGTATTTCTGTTCCTTCAGTTCCTTTCTTCGTTTAACTCTTCAATCGTACTTTCTTCCGCCGTCAATATATCTCTGTTTGTATTTTATATTTATTTATATATTTATTCGCTTCTTTTATATATATGTATAGACTGATATCAACACGTATAACATCGAATTCCCTATTAATTCTCTTTCGTTTTCCGTTTTTCGTGGAGAAAATTGCGGTTGCTGAACGCGGTTCTCACAAGTCTCGTTTCGGCGTTTTGGTTTCTATGAACGACTCTTCTCCTTCGTCACGACTCCGTCGGAGGAAACGAAATTTCGAGGCTTCTCGAGCCTCACCTTCGAATACTCAGGTTCGTCCTTCTTCTTTGCGTTTTCCTTTCTAATCTTCGATTACTGACCGTACTTTGATTCTCGTTATCTTCTCTTTTCTTTTCGTTCAACAGACACGCGCTAACTTCGTAATTACTTGTACACGTATAGCTAAGCTCTTACTAAATCGGGGAATGAAACTTTTCTCGTTATTCTTGCCCTTCGTCGGTTGTTTCAGAAACATAGCTTGAGTTTAACCTTCCGCAGTGTCGAGAGAAATGATCAGCTTGATCGTCTCTTATACAACGTTTCTATATATAAATTATTAGTGTCAGGAGCATACCGGGTCAATGGCGCCAATAACACGTTCTGTATTCGAATGCTGAGTATCTCAGCTTGTAGGAAAGCTTTTAGTAACTTGTTTAAATTACAAGTTCTTCTTACTTTGGCGGTAATAATCTTTTTGCATATGTATGGCCTTATTATCGACATTTATACGTAGACTACGGATCTTTATGCAAAATAAAATCTTCGCAAACGTGCCTACAAAAATTGAATCTATATAGGAATTTATTTTATTCTGCAAATATTAAAACGTGAACTTTACTTTCAATCTGTTTTATATTCTTGCATATTGTTTGCATTTTGTAGGTTCTTGCATAGTCAAATTTCCCATAAATGCATCAAGATCCGCAGTCTATTTGTAAGTATAGATAACCGAATCAAACTGTACCGTGTTAGGCCGGGGCCACATTATGCGTTTTTGCCGCATCCTGTTTTGCTTTGAAATATGGTTTCAAAATTTCTACTAATTCATCGAATGAATTTATTGACATTCGGTAATATTGAAAAAACTTGTCCTCAAAATTGCGGATGTTAGCGAAAAACTTTTTAAAACGATTATTAGAGTCTCGTTCCGAAAAAAGGGATGAACCCAAGAATTGGAAACTATCGATTCACGTAACAACCCTTCTGCTTCCATAACACAAGCAATTTTCAAAAATTTCTTCTTGTTTATGTTGACGTATTGACAGTTCAGGCGAGATTGACTGCGTTAAAATCGCAGCAATGTATCATGTAAAATTGTAAACTACTGGACAAAATTAGCGCCATGCTTTTTTAAATGCTCATAATTATGAGAGTTTTCAACCGATTTCGGTGAAATTAGTAGCGTTCCGGTTAAATTGCGTCCGCTTTCACCGCAGCGGAGAAAACGCATAGCGTGGCCCTGGCCTTAAACAGAATGTTTCGGGATCTGCCATGACAAGACACGTTACGTAGCGAAAGGTTAAACGTGACTGCACCGATGGAAACAAAACATAAACTCGATAGTAATTTCGATAGCGACTCAATGGTGGTATGGTCGGCGTTGATGACCCTATATTATATGTATAGATATATCGTATATAGTACTGTACAGTCGATGAGAAAAAGGAATTTCTGAAAGAGTATTTCATGGTGTTACACGTAAAGTTTGCACGGACAAATCGTATCGCTGGAAGAGGACTTAATAGGACTTTCCTTAACGCTCGTTAATCGTACGCTTCGACTTAGGTCTCTACTAAAGACTCTCTAGTAATGGGCAACAGCCCAATATTAGCGATTTACTCTCCGAGTAGATACAGTTACAATAGAATCCACACAAATTATTGGGTTGTCCGGAAAGTTCATGCCTATTTTTTTTTAAGAAAAATTCAAAGGCATATTTGAATTTTGATGTATATTTATTGAATTATATATTAATATCCGGGTACACGGGTAACTAATGGATCCGTGTTTTAATCCGTGTATTTTTAATACACGGGTACCCGGCTATCGAAATACACGGATATCCAGGTACGTATACGTGCATCGAAAAACACGGGTACGCATACATCGAATTATACGGGTAGAATATCCAATTATTTTTATATACAAACTTTTATATAAAAAAGCTATTATTCTAAAATAATGATCCTTATTAATTTTGGAAAAATTGGTATGCAGTAAAATAAATAAATAAAAAATGTATAAACATAAGAAGAGTGAATATAACAGAATAAATTTTGTAGTGTAATTTGTAAAACTTGATTTACTAGTTAAAAATATATATATATATATATATATATATATACTAAATATTCACTAAATAGTTACTAAATATTCAAGTCACGGGTAACAATAGATGATTCGATGTATGCGTACTCGTGTATTTCGATGCACGTGTACGTACCTGGATATCCGTGTATTTAGATATCCGGGTGTCAGCGTATTTCGACACTCGAGTACCCGTGTATTAAAAATACCTGTTCAAAACCGTGATCTCTATTATATATGTAGCATTTTGTTCCACAACCCTTTCCACCTGTTAAGGAATGTACACATGTTATTCGTTTTCAGCCATTCCGATATATTCAGACCTGTACCGCCTACTAAAAATCGGCATGGACTTTCCAGACAGCCCAATACTATCGGCCTATATAAATTATAATCACGTGTATAAGTAGTAATATTCTTAACTCCATTTCAAGATTTTAACTTCTACGACAATGATTTTTGAATCGGATCTATAAAATTCGCTTAACAACGTCGAGTACGATTAACCCGTTCCAAGGGATAAGCATTTCCAGCGTCCCTTCGAGTAAACGATTCGTTTGCGCAGCCTGCGTAATGTCGGAATGTGATCAAGTCGTCACTGGGCAAAGCTCCCGCTTATTTCGACGACAATTGTACAAAAACCCGTTCGCAAGCTCGTCCGGCCTGCAACGTGACGTGGCAGTATTATCAGTAAGTAGACAGTGTAGTAGTACGATATGATACAGAGAGCAAGTGTAATCGGAAGCCATCTTGGTAGCGCGGCGGCGAATCGCTCGTTAGGAGGAATCAGTGGTTTCCAAACATTTCTGTCGAATTTGAGTGGATCTTTCCTTAAAATTATTTAAAGAAAAAGAGATCGAATTACGTTTAAAGGGCAGCAAAGGGTCCAAACTTCCATTCGAATTCCAAGATTACCTCGCGACGCGATTCGTCGAGCGGACAGAAATGACCCTCGCACGCATACACACCCACACGCACACAAACACACGCTCGCGCAACACACGCATACAGAACTATAGCTCATCATTGTCAATGAAATCGAAGTATACCACAATTAGGCGAGACGTACTTGTATGATAGTTATGGCCTGAATATCGACGGCGTTCGATTCGAACTAGCGCAGACGCGGGACATTTGCTCTACGTTTGTGTTACCGCTAGAACAATCAGCATGGAAAGGACGCGACCTTGAACTTTTTCGTGGTAGCCTCTGGGTCGTTAACATCGGAACATCCTCCGTATCTCTCATTCGCCCTTGTACTCGAAGACGGTACCCCGAAATCTCCGCTCTGCCTCCGTGTTCGTCCCCTCGTTCGTGGGTATCTCTAAATTACTTGGTACGGTTGATTAATTATTTGGTACGATCAATGGCGTCTCTGACCCGCGAAACTGTCCCGCCGCGCGATCGTCACTGCTTCGAATGTCTTTTGTTCTCTTCTCTCTTGCGCGGAGACCGGACTCCCGTGTGGACGTTTAGGACGCGCGAGACCTGACCGGTCGTATCGATACGATAAACCCTCGAATCAACGGATTAACCATCGACCTAACAGCTAGTCGGTACAAGTTGAATCCATTCGACTCTGAAACCGCTGAAACGTCAGGTAGGGTTGACCGCTATCCAATCCGTGACGCACCAGTAGAGATCCGCCCAAGAGCCTCTCGCTTCGATCAGGATCGTCCCCGATCATTCGAACACCGTCGATTCTCGTCAGGGAATGCACTCGAGCGAGCCTTTTCAGGGTATGGGTGGAGAACGAAAACCAAACTCTCGAGCGCAGAGTTTACGGCTGTCGCGTCACGGTGAACGCGAACTCCTGGGACTCTTCGGGGTCGTTTTGGGGATGACTCGACCCCGAAAGACCCGCGTCCTCATGCTCAAGTGGTCTCGAGTCCGATTCTCGCGCACTTCGCTCGCCTGGACGAGAGGTCCGATCGGTGACGGTCCCGAAATAAATTCCTAGGTGCACCTATGATAGACTCGACATACACGCCCTTAAAGCAGCCACTTGGCCACCAGGATCATGATCAGATGCGGCGCCAGGCTGACGCCCGACGCGGTGCTGCCCTTCACCCTCACGTCGCTGTCCTTCAGGAACACCGAGTCGATCACGTGGATGATGCCGTTGGTGCACTCGACGTCAGGCCGGAACACGCGGATCCAGTTGCCCTCCCACTCGATCTGGTAGCCTGGAAACAGAGAACAGTCCCAATTAGGATGCCTTGTTTACGATGTACGAAGGATTCTCTGGACGAACGAAGCGTGTTGCAAAATTTGCCAGCGACAGACGGGATGTCTTTGTCAGCGCATCAGCCGATGAACATGATATCGGATGACACTAATTGCGGCTTAATCGAGGTCTGAGGCTACGGAACACAAAGACGCTACATGCATGTAGCGGCATCCGTGAGGTTCTTATCAATGGAAGAGACGTTATCGACTTAAGCTACGGTTTCTATGAATGCGAATTCAGACGAAAATGTGTTCGACGAATTTTGACGAATTCGATCAAAGAAACAGACGTCTGCTTTTCAATGATAGTGTTTACACTAGCAACGACACACATGTCAGGACATTCATGACGTCATCAGAACTATTATAATTGAGCGTTTAAACAAGTTTCACTTTTTTCGTGCGACCTGCGTCTATATTTTGGGTGTTTTTGAGCGTTTGTTTTGTTCGGACGAATCCGTCAGAACTCGTCCGAATTCGTATCCATAGTAACCGTAGCCTTACGCGAGACGGGCTTACGGAAGAATTATTGACCATAGAAAGTTCTACAAAAAAGTCCGTGAGTGCATGTAAAGATCTTATAAAGAGTAAAAAGAAAAAGAGAAAAAGAAAAAGTCTTATAGAGATAGATATATGCTCTCGCGGACTTTTTTGTAGAACTTTCTATGGTATAAAGATCTTACAAAGAGTAAAAACAAAAAGAGAAAAAGAGAAAGGTCTTATAGAGATATACAGGGTGTCCCAAAAATGTTGGAGGTCCTTGAAAGGGGTGGTTCGGGAGGTGATTTGAAACAACTTTTTCCTTTGCAAAAATGTCGGATGGGGCTTTGTTAAGTAGATATTAATAAAAAAAAACCGACCAATCAGAGCCCGCGGATACCGTTGGAGCGGTCGCGGTAGCGAAGGCTACGCGCTGAGCGGCCGCGTCAATATCCTTCGATGCACGTCGAGTCTCTTGTTCGCGTACGAGAGCGACTACCTAGCGCGTAGCCATGGCTATCGCGGCCGCTCCAACAGTATACGCGCGCTCTGATTGGTCAGTGTTTTCCGTTAATATCTCCTCAACGAAGCCTCGGACAACAATTTCACACCCTTCTCAAGGACCTCCAACATTTTTGGGACAGCCTGTATATAGGACTACGAGATCTTTATAAGAAGTTTATATGTTACGGTTTGTAATATCCAATCATCGTAAATCTGACGAACCATTTCCTAAACCAGTCACTTAATTTGTATCAAAATAAATTGTTTATTCAGCTGAAGTATCTAATACGGATAAAGCATGAAGTTCAAATTTTCCGCGGAAAATTAGTGTCAGAACTAGCAGACTAAGAAGCAAAAAGACAAACTGAAAGGGTCCGTGATACACAATACAAAGTCCCAGAAAAAGATATTTTAGTAGATCTAAAAGAAGAATTTTGAAATAAGTTCAAAGAAAAGGCAATGGAAATAGGAAGAGAGAAGGGAGCTCTCTTTATGAGAGAAATAGGACCAAATCACAAGAGAGCAAGATATAAACCTTGGTTTGTAAAATACAAAGATAAATTAGACAGATCAATAATAAGGACGGTCTCAAGGATCAGGTGCAACCACTATAATCTGAGAGCATCGCTTGCAAGGAAAGGGATAGTGGAAGACTCAACTTGTCCATGTGTCCAGGAAGATGAAGACATAGACCACGTCTTATTTCAATGTAGTCTATATAATGTCGAACGAAACATAATTTGGACAAAACTCCAAAAAGAAATTGAGAAAGTAGGGTGGTCAGTAATTGAGTTAATAAAATTACACAAAGTTAAGGTATATAAAACCATTAACACATTTCTAAAAGATATTAATAAGATAATATAAGAAGAACCAACAAATGGAAAAGGAAGAATATCGGATAACTAAAGAAGAAAGAAACTGCCAAACAATACAAAGAAAACGTGATAGAAGTATATTAAAATAAAAGAAGAAACTAAAACTTAAAAGTCCAAGGAAAATTCCCATTAAAATTATGTAACATAAAAAAATATGCAAGCAACGAGTAGGTTAAGATATATACAGCATTACAGAAATACAATTAGAATAAAAAGAGAGATCAATATGAAGACTGAAGATTGTTAGGTTGTAAGGAAAAAGTATATATCTTCTAAAAAGATTCTATTTTTGTCTGTTATATAATAATATATAAATATAAAATGGACGAGTTACTGTTCCTACATAAAGTTTATTAACATACTATAATAAAGAAGTATGACAACCTCGACTTACAAATTAAAAAGTTTATTGTTCCGTTATTCCTTATTGCGGTTAGTTTTAAGAAGGATAATAATTATAAAATAAGCCAATAAGAATAAAGATTAAGAAATATTAATGTAAAAAGTTTAGAAGAGGAAATGTATAAAGAGAGCAGCACATAGTAGTGCAAAGTACAGCTTCGAATGTACGCACTTTAATTTAATAAACAAACAAACAAATTGGTGTCACCATCCACCAGTGAACACTTGAACTAATTTTCGGAGTTTCTATGTTTGCAGATAAATGGCGTCACTTGTATGGTAATTATCGACATAATGGTAATGTACCGACTGTGTCGGTAAAAACAGTGGAAATAGCGTCATCTAGCGGCGAAGTAAAGGACTATTCGACGACAAACTTGAGCGTTTTCCCGATAGAGGCGCTGACCAAACTCAGAAAATTAGTTCAGTATGTTCACCGCTAGATGGCGACACAAATTTCCGCGGGAAATTTGAATCTCTTTTTATTGAATTAAAGTTTATTACGAGCATAAGAAAGATTGTGATAGTTTAAAAGTTTGAAAATGATGTCTAGTTGTGTATTGTGATAGATACAAGTGCTTCGCATTTCTTCATTTACTATACAAGGGCAATTTAACATGGATATACAGGGTGTTCCAGCATCGGTGGTACAATAGAGGTGGGGATGATTCTACATAAAAAAAACAAATCGAAAATAAAGAATAAAATTTGTTCATTCGAGATTTCGTTCTCGAGAAAATCGGTTTTGAATATTCAGCGAGTGCTCGTATACGTGACTATGGTTTAGATGGATGGATCCCGATACAAGTCGTATGTATGTAAAGAAAGGAGACTTTTTCTTTAATTTGAATTATGCACGCCAATTACTTAGGACTCTTGAAGTAGCGCCGCATAGACGAAAGAAGACAAGTGGAAAAGATTGATATTAAAACGGTTATTAAAACGGTTAATAACAAGAATAGATTATATTGTCGTTCCTTTATTTTCAGGTAATATTATACCGTAGTTATTGTAAATAGCGTATATAATGTATGTTATTAATGTAAGAATAAACTTTATTTTCTGAGTAACACAAGCTGTCCATTCTTTTATATTAAATTCAAGATATAGATAATAACCTTGTATGTATGTTTATACACACATGACACTTATAAGTAATACTCATATCATTAGTATCAAGATGATGTGCTGTATTACTAATTTCTGTCTACGGATTTAGAGTGAATTTAACGTCTGCATCGAGATCCATCTATCTAGGCCATATTACAGTGGGTGTAGAATGTATTCGTACACCGATCAATTTCCCAACAAATTTTTCTGTGAAATTGTAGTTTCTTAACTTCTTTTTTCATAATCAATGATATTTTATGTATTCTCGGAAATCTCTAAGATAGATATAGTCCAAACAACGTTTACTAGTTAATATAATTTGTGAAATTAACAAAAAAATGCGAAAAGTGGGTAAAAGTATAGAAGCAATAAGTATTTGTACGATTCTTATGACGAACCATTTACAGTAGAGTTTGTAACGTAAACACAATAGTTTATTGCTCCGTACGAATTAGAAAACATCAAATTTCCAGGAAAGTACTTTTAAAAATGGCTCTAATAGAGGAATTGAAGGAGATCCCACTTCGAATAACTAATAATTTAGTTAATTTAACGCTTAGATGAGTTGCAATAATTATAAAATCAAAAGGAAATCCTACGAAGGAAGTATTATATACTTGTAAATTAATGTAAATTTCTATTTTTTTAATGAAGTTTTAAAAATTAAACAGTTGTGCGAATACTTATTGCTTCTATCGATTAATCGTTTTTTTCTTGTTAATTTCGCAACTTACATAAATAGCTATTTTTTTTTGGTAATCTATAAATTCTAGAGATCTCCGAGAATATGTACAATGTCATTTTTTATAAAATATTAGTTAATAATATACAATTTTACATAGTTTTTTTGAAAATTGATCGGTGTACGAATACTTTTTACACCCACAGTAAGTGTACTCGTACTTGCTTAATATTCAAAATCGAGAAGGAAATCTCAAATGAAAAAATTTTATTCATTATTTTCGATTTGTTTTTTCATGTAGAATCACCTCCTTCTCGGTTGTACCACCGATGCTGGGACACCTTGTATAATAGTACTCTCAGAAAAAGACAAAAATGTTAAGTAAATATATTCTATAAAATTTTAATGAACAGAGATAGACGTTATCTTGGCTATACTTTGTTGTTTTATTGACCAGAGAAAGAGTTAACTAGCACGAAAGATATATTGGAATAATAGGAAATTTCCAAGAAGCTGGAACATTGAAACTTAACGAAACAGCAATAATAATACCATTTAATGAATCGAAAGAATGCAAAAGATGTCGTTAAAGTCGCTAGAATTTTCTCTAGTTGTATCGTTACGAATTTTTTAAACCACTATTTGCAGTACCCTTCACAATATTCAATAGCTCTTTCAAGCTTTAACAAAGCTTGCGAAAAAAGAACGAACGAGGGAAAAAAGCAATACGAACACGTTCATTCAGAACGATCGGAAAGCAGATGAAAGTTATATAAAATGTAGAATAGAAAAGTAGAAATATACGGGCGAGTGAAAAAGAGAAAAAAATCGAATAGTAGAACAGAGATTGTGCAAACAAGATAATCATTTGAATTAAGCTTCATTCGTTATGCCCTAAGCC